TAAAAGGAAGTTTAAGTGAGGATTAAGGAATCATCAACCATCAACCACACTCGTGAAGAGTTATTTAGGAGTAGTTCTAAATTACCCATTTTAGAAGTAGATTAAACTGGTAGCTTTTCCAACCCTCAATTTCTCTTCTTTCTGTCTATTGCTGTATTTATTCAATTTTTTGTTCTTGCTTAAGTTCTTGTAACTAGTGACAAGTAACAATTTATTCGAATTAATACATATTCTATTATGTTCCATTTCTTCTTTACTTAATTACCTTCAGGGAAGTCCTTAATCTGTTTAAGGGATAGAACTCAACCACAAAGTTTGATCTTTTTGTGTTTATTTAAAATCTGTTTAAGTCTATCCTTCAATCACTGTTGATTGGGCCTAAACTGAATTTTTGCTAACATAAATTGGCACGCCCGTTGGGACCATTCTAACTTGGAGTAATGGTGAAGAAGAAAATTGAAAAAATTGAGACTACTGACGCCAGTAGGAAAATTACTGACGAGTCAGGCCTTCTTGGAAAACCAAGTGAGTGGCTTGCTGAAGAAACAGGTCTCCCCACTGCCTTTCTTGAGTTTGGGGAAGACATGGAGGTCATTGCGGATAGCCAATCAATGGCAACCAGATACGGTGTAGGACTGAAAGATGGTCAGGACACAACCAATGGAGACCATCACCATGGCCTGGCGGCTGAACAAATAGAGGAAATGATTGCCTAGCTTGGCCATACCTTCAAGGTGAGACCAGAAGACCTCACGAAAAGTATGAGGGCCAAGCTCAGGATGATTGGAGGGTTCAGCCTTACCCCTAGTCCTCCACCACCAGCCAAAGTGGAAGCATAGGCAACTAAGGTACAATTTCAAACTCCTAAGGCAAATAGGATTCACCAGAGTAGTGCCTCTTTTTATAGGCCTCCAACTCTCCAAGAGGAGGAGCAAGAGAGGTTTGAAATGAACCCTAATCAGACATACAAAGAAACTAAAATTAACATTAATTATGGAAGACAATTTGGTCCCTCTAGGCCTGTCGCTCGAAGAGAGGCCTTGGAAGGGAAAACACATTATAACCCAACCTTTGAAATGAATAATAGAACTAAGTAAGGGGGGGCAAAGTTGGCCCTTGGAACAGGAAGAACCAATGCACGACATGGTCAAGGCTATGCCAAAGGGCAGTTGAGAACCCCTGAGTTTGAGGAACCCGCCGTCGATAGACCAAGAATAGGGCAGTATAACTTTGTTGACCAGAGGCCTATGCGAGGGGGGCAGTTTAGAGCCCCTGGATATGAGGAACCTGCCGTCGACAAACTCGGACTAGGACAATACAACTTTCCTGACCAAAGGTTTAGACAACCAAACTATGATAACCCAAGACCAAGGGCCAACCAAAGACCTAGGCAGCATGTATACCAAGAACAAGGTTTTAGAAATCACGAGCCACAACGAGGACTTGGACCACCCCCTCAACATTTTGAAGAAGAAGGTGTTGGTCTGCACCATCCTCGACAGCAGCACTTCCAGCTATATGAGGGATTTGCTACACCAAACTTTCAACCACAAATAAATAAAGGGATGGGGTATGGCACTTATCATGAGGAGCCAAATTTTGAACCAGCCCAGATCAACATACATCAGATTATGGAAATAATTCAAGAAATGTATGGCCCAGGCCTCAAGAGGCCTAACATGCCAATGTTTAGAAAGCCGTACCCTTATTGGGTATATGAAACCCCTCTTCCCAAAAACTTTAAAATGCCTGAATTCTCCTTATTCACTGGAGAAGAAAGAAAATTGACCATATAATCTTAAGCTGAGGCTTTTTCCACACTCATTATCAAAAGTGGCCTTCACATGGTTCATTAACCTGCTAGAAAACTTAGTACCCACATGGTAGGACAAAGAAGGCAAGTTCCATGCACGATTTTACAGGACTGAGCCAAACATTAGTATGGTTGATTTAGCCAAGTTTAGTCAAAAGCAGTGGGAGTCTGCAGAACAATACATCGACAGGTTCAAAAAGGCTAGAAATAGGTGCCCTGTCTATATGCCTGAAATAGAGGTGATAAGGTTGGCCCAAAATGACCTTCACTTCAAGTTAAGAAAGAAGTTTGAAGGAATGGAATTTAGAGATTTGTTTGAACTTTCATCTAGGGCAACTAGTTATGAGTCCATTTCTAGGGAAGTGCAGCAAATGAGGGCTACTGTCCTAGGAACATATTACTAGGACATAGAGCTGGAAACAGAAATAGACATAGATATTGCTCAAGTAATTGGCAAGATACCAATGACTTGTGAAGCCTTGAAAAAGGCAAAAAATCAATAAACATGCCTTCTATTCAGTCAGCTAGGAAAAATGTGCCAATAACCCATCAACAGTACTCCTTTGATTTATCAAAGACAGATGCTTTGTTCGATGAGTTATTAGCTGGGAAATTTTTAACATTATCCCCAGACCACAGCATCCCAAAAGAAAAAGATAGAATTGGCAAAGAGTACTGTAAATGACATAATTCATTTAGGCATTCAACTAATAATTGTGTAACTTTTCACAACTGTGTGCAGGACTTGATTCAAAAAGGGATGCTGAAATATGCTAAGAAGGACAAAGGGGTTATGGCTATCGAAGGGAATCCTTTTCCAGAGGAAGTGGACATAAACATGGTGTCTATCAGTCTGAGAGATCAAACCAAGAACCCAAGAGTGCTACTAAGTAAGTTGCAGAGAAGGAACTTCTGGCTGAAGGAAAAAAGCCAATGGTCCATCAGGACCACTTTGTATGTTTTAGGTGTGGGACTGAGAGAAAAAGCACAGGCTATTATGGCTGACAAAGTACAGAAGCAAATGAAGGATTGTGGCCTAAGATTTAACACCATGGGCCAAGATGACTTGCCAATTTTCAATGGTGCAGAATTGCTGTATAACAGGGTAGACGCAGGAGTTTATACAACCAAGATAGCGAATTATGAGGAGCAAGATGGGCCCTTGCTTTACCAAGGGATGCCAATGAATCCTTGCTTGGAAGGGCTAGTGTAGTCAGAGCATATTTGAGGCAGTACAAACAACAACAATAGAATAGCCAGCCAATAAGTTTTAGGGCTCAAAGGTCCTACAATCAAAAGGCTAGGAAATATTCACATGGCTTGAAAAAAAGGTTAGAGGAAGGCATGGTTGCCAGGCCATACAGTGGCCCAGTAGAACACATGCTAAACAAGGAGTCAGGGCTGGAGTAGCCCAGAATGATGATGCCCCTTGTGCCACCGCATTTTGGTTGGTAGGGGGGGTAGTGCATCCAAATTTCCTAGGGGAGGTTGGAGAGCTATGGTTGAAACCAAAACAGAAAAAAGAATGGAGCAAAGGAAGTTCCATGCAATGATATCTAGATTGAACAACCAGGGCTTGAAACCACCAAGGGCACAAAACGTAACTTGGTCTAGAGAAAAGTGGGATAATGAAATCTATGCACCGAAAAATGCAGTAGCATTAACACCAGGGAATGGCACCAAGGAGGTCCCCAATTCGTCAATGGCATGTGAGGAACCCATACCGATCACAGAGGAGGCTTTGCTCAGACAAAGAATTAGAGAAGGAATTACAAGTTGACGATGAGGCCATGAAGGGTAGCCAAGAGGTGGCCCAAAGGTCAAGATGATGGGGCCTGTCGACATGGAAAAAAACGAGCTTAAGTCAGAGAGTTCTGGGGATTTTGGAGAGAATGGCCATCCAGTTTGGCAGTTTTCTCCTCATGGATTGTAATGTGGTGATGGCCATTCCCAAGAGTTTTTCAGGCCAAACCAGACCAACTAACACACTTGATTAGTGATGTGGAAGACTTCACAGAAGTAGTGGCCCAGATAGCAGAAACTAAGGCCAAACTAGTAAGGTCAATCGAAGTAGTCAAGTCAGTCAATGGAGACCAAGTAGTGCTGCAAAAGCCCGGGGAGGAATTGATTAACCATTTGAGACCTCTATATATGCAAGTACACCTGGATGGAGTGCCTGTCGATAGGGTTTTGGTCGATAATGGGACCATTATTAACATCCTTCCTTCTAAAACTCTAAGGATTTTAGGAAAAACAGTGGATGATTTGATGCCTACTGACATCTCAATTAGTAACTTTGCAGGAGGCTCGTTCGAGGCCAAATGAGTAAGTCTTAAAATTGAAAATTGGAGCAAGGGCCATGGGCATAACTTTCTTCGTGGCCGATTCCACCTCTAACTATAATCTGTTGCTGGTGTGTACCATCCTTATTACATCAGGCCCTCATCTTCCTAACCAGCTAAGAAGGGAGCAAGCCACATGATGGCATGGAGGTTTATTGGGCTGATGCTAATCCCTTCATAGTAAATGTTTATAACATTGAGGCAGCACTGTATGAAAAAAGCCTGAAACCAATGGAGGTGGTTTCTGAAGAGCTGAAGACACAAGGGGCATCATTCCTGAAGAGTTTCAAGCCTACATAGACGAGGGATTTCGACAGATTGGCCAAGACATGGCCAAACCCAGCCTAATGCAAAAGATGCAGGTGAACCAATCATTGAATTGGTGGCTAAACAAGATGGTTGAATAATGAATACAATGGTCAATGATGAGGAGGACATTAGTATAGTTAGGTCTAATTTCTTTAGATTGTTTTGTTTCTTTTTTGCAAATAAGGTCAGTCCTAGAATTTTACCTTTATGTTCATGGGCTGAATATGTGATTGACAATAGCCCTCTTAGAGTTTGAACATTTGCAGGCAGCACCTGCTAAGTTAGTTGATCTTAGAGCTGATGTCCAGGATCCCTTAGAGGAGTTTAACTTAGGGGATAGAGCCTATAAGAGGCCCATTTTTGTCAATGCAAAATTATCTAATAAATACAAGGAAAAGCTTATTGGCCTTCTTCCTGATTATATGGATTGTTTTGCATGGAATTATGATGAAATGTGTGGTTTAGATAGATCATTAGTTGAACATAAGCTCCCAACATGAAGTAATCATATTCCCCATAAGCAGCCTCCAAGAAGAATGACTATTGAGGTAGGGCTGTTAGTTAAAGAAGAAATTGAAAGACTGCTTAAAGCAAGGTTTATATGGACTGCCAGGTATGTTGAGTGGCTATCAAATGTGGTTCCTGTCATGAAAAAGAATGGCAAATTGAGAGTCTGCATAAATTTCAGGAACTTGAATATTGCAACTCCCAAAGATGAGTACCCAATGCCTGTGGCCGATCTGTTGGTTGATTCAATAGCCAAACATAAAATCTTATCTTTCATGGATGGACATGTCGGGATAATCAAATATTTATTAGCCCAGAAGACACCCACAAAACAGCTTTCAGGTGTCTTGGGGCTGTGGGCACATCTGAGTGGGTTGTTATGCCATTTGGCCTAAAAAATGCAAGTGCTATTTATCAGAGGGCCATGAACTTAATCTTTCATGATCTAATTGGAAAATTTTTAGAAGTCTATATAGATGATGTGACCATCAAGTCAAAAAGTTTTGATAAACATTTAGACCACCTTCGACAGACTTTTCAAAGGATGAGGTCTTATAAGTTGAAAATGAACCCTATGAAGTGTGCATTTCGAGTGTCTGCTGGAAATTTTTTAGGCTTCCTGGTTCGTCAAAAGGGTGTTGAAGTGGACACAAATAAGGCCAAAGCTATACTAACAGCACCACCGCCAGCTAACAAAAAAGAAATGCAGAGTTTTCTAGGGAAGGTAAATTTACTGAGGAGGTTCATAGCCAACTTGGCTGGGAAAACTCGGGCTTTTTCACCTTTGGTAAAAGCCAAAGTAGATATAGAGTAAAAGCCAAAGCAGATATAGATTTTAACTGGGAAAAGCCTCAACAGGAGGCTTTTGATTTAATTAAGAAATACTTAATGAATCCACCAATCCTAATGCCCCCCATCAAAGGGAAGCCACTAAAGTATATATTTCAACATGAAGGGTCCATTGGGTGCCTATTAGCTCGAGATAATGAGAATAGCCATGAGCAGGCCATCTATTATTTTAGCAGAAGGTTAAATGATGTAGAAACCAGATATAGTTCAGTAGAAAAATTGTGTTTGGCTTTATATTTTGCTGCCATCAAGCTAAGGCATTACATGTTACCTTCAGAAGTATGGGTGGTAGCCCAGACTGATGTGATTAAGTACATTCTGTCTAAGCCTATTATGAGGGGGAGATAAGGTAAGTGGTTGCCGGCTTTGATAGAATATTGCTTCAAATATGTTCCCCAAAAGGCTGTTAAAGGCCAAGCTTTGGCTGATTTTTTAGCTGAGCACCCTAGATCTTCCGTTGATGAGGATTTGTTTGAAGTAAACTATGCAGAAAATACCCCCTGGAGGCTAATGTTTGACGGCTCTAAAACAAAAGAAGGTGTTGGAGCTGGTGTTGTGTTCGTAGCACCTAGTGGCCAAGTTCATCAGCTTTCATACCAATTAGATGAACAGTTCATCACATCTAATAATCAAGGTGAACATGAAGCCTTGATCATAGGTCTAGAATTGGCCATAAAACTCAGAATTACTAGCCTGCAAGTATTTGGGGATTCACAACTGGTCATTAAGCAAATTAAAGGGGAGCATAGGTGTGCTAACAAAGCCCTAGAAGAATATCTAGCTAAGGTCAAATGGTTGATAAGTTGTTCAGCCATGTTAGTTTTCAGCATATGTTTTGAATAGAAAATAGGCAGGCCAATGAAATGGCCCAGGTAGCTTCAGGATTGAGAATTCCAAAGGGAAACCAAGAAAGAATAATCAGGATTCAGAGGAGATGTTTCTCCATATTAAAGGATCAACAGAGAAATTTCTTGTCAATAATGCACTTAGAAATGGCAGAGGGGGATTGGAGATACCCTTTGATTAGATATTTAAGGAATCCTGGAGAAAATGTTGGCAGACAAGTTAAGTATCAGGCCTTGAATTATGTCATCATGGGAAATGATTTGTTTAGAAAGGCCTATGATGGCATGACATTACTATGCATAGGCCAGGATGAGCAGATGAAGGCAATGGCTGAAGTGCATGAGAGCATATGTGGTGCTCATCAAGTTGGAGAGAAGATAAGGTGGATGGTCAGTAGGTATGGGTATTTCTGGCCAACAATGAGAAAAGACTGCATAGCTTATGTTGGGATGCCAAGAATGCCAGAAACATGGCAATTTGCAAAGGGTGCTAGCAGTTGTGTTACATTCTGTGGTAAAACCTTGGCTTTTCAGAGGATGGGCAATGGACCTAATTGGGCAAAATTTCCCCCCTTCCTCGAAGCAGCACTCTTACCTCTTAGTGGTTATGGAGTACTTCACCAAGTGGGTAGAAGTAGTGCCACTGAAAATGGCGACCTAGAGCCATGTGATTGATTTTGTGAAAAATACACAATACATAGGTTAGGGTTACCACAATCGATCATAGTGGATCAGGCTACCATGTTTAATGAGGATGAAATCAAGGAGTTTGCCAAAGAATATGGCATTGAAATCCTCAATTCATCACCTTATTATGCTCAGCTGAGTTCACCAACAAAATAATAAAAAATATGTTGGAAAAGATGGTTAAAGAGAACCCTAGAGATTGACATAATTTATTATCCAATGTATTATGGGCTTATAGTAACTCCAAGAAAAATAGTATTGGGACTACCCCCTATGAATTAGTGTATGGCCCTTAGAAGTAACAATCCAGTCCAGTAGAGTGGCCTTGCACTATGACATCCCTATCGATGAATATGCTGAGGCCATGATGATGAAGTTGCAAGATCTGGAAGAACGGACAGTTATGGCCTATAACCATCTCTTGGCTCAGAACAGAAAAGTCGAAAGAGCTTATAATAAAAGAGTGAAGATCAAAGTATTTTCAGAAGGAGATTTAGTATGGAAAACCATACTGTCCTTCAAAGATCCAAATTTTGGAAAGTGATCTCCAAATTGGGAAGGGCCATTAAAGATTTACAAGGTCCTCTAGGGAGGAGCCTATCATCTTGCATCTATAGAGGGAGTCCCATATAAAAGAATTATAAATGGAAAGTATTTTAAAAAATATTATCCAACCATGTGGAAAAGCATCAAGCATGGGTAAATAAAGAATGATTTCATTAATAATATTATCGTGGGGTTCATGTACATATCACCATCTAGTCTTTAAAAAAAAAAACAAAAGGAAAAAAAAAAAAAAACAGAAAGGGTCTTAATCCCTCTGCAGGGCAGTTACAACGCTGGCCTAAGAAGACAAGATGGCTCTCATTTTTGCCTTAACCTGGAAAAGTTCCCTTGAGCATCCTTGAGGGCAATTGGGCTATCCTGAGCCAAGAGCTGGTTCATCTATTGATTAATATGGCTTTGCTCTTCCATCAGAGCAGCTTATTGAACCTTACCTGCGGCTAGTTTTGCCTGGAGCTGTTGAATTTGAGCCAAAATAGCAGTCTTCCTCTCATTAATAGAGGCACTGGCCCTAGAAACGGCTTGGGTTCTGGCAGAGGCACTCTGCCCAAAGTATAAGAGACTTGCCTCACAGAGGCCATCCTAGCATTAGCAGCCTCAGTCTCAGCTTCAAACTGTGCCATGGAGGAAATGTGTTGAGAAAGTTGGCCCATGAAGTCTTGAAAGATGTAGAATTAATCAGGATCTAAGAGCCTTTATGCTAATGTCACAAAGCTCTGAAATCCACTAAGAAGTTCTTCAGCCATGGTGAGGGCAAGATCCTCAAAAGGGAGGCTCAGTAGCAAAAAGAACTAGTCAACTTCCTGTTGTTCAAAGAAGGAGAGTTGCCTAAATCTTTCCTCATAAGTAGTACTAGCAAATGGCAGCTGAAAGGCACTGGCTTGCTGAAGCAGGTCAGGAGTTGAGGCCATAGGAGAAATGTCAGCCTACATATATATATATATATATATAACAACAAGGGGCTAGGACATTTAAGATGAAAGGAAAATCAAAAGAAAGAGAAGAATAGTGATACCTACGTAGGAGGGGAAGATAAGGCTCAAAAGGGGGTGGCCTGGGAAGTATGGACCTCCACTTCAAGGATGAGAGCTACCCTCACTTCAGTAGGAGAAGTACTGCTGACAGGATGAGGAGATGGAGGTTACTCCACCCCAGGGGAATGGCCATAAATAGCAAGGCCTGAAAGGACAAGACCAAAAAAGTAAATTGAGTATGGAGTGGTCGATGGAAAAGTGGAAGGAAACATATGGCATCAAGGACATAGATAAGGTAGGAAATACCGTCAGAAGGATGGTTAGGACTAGGATGATCCCGTTGTTCTGGCATGGATTGGACAGGAAAAGTTTCAGTAGGAGCCCCGAAAGCAGGCTCAAGAATGGTCTCAAAACCAGCAGCTACACACATCCCAATATAAAAGGGGAAAAGTAAAAAAAAAATTGAAGGGAAAAGGCAAGAGACAAGAAAATGATAAAGAAGCACACTTGAGTGTGGCAAGATATGCTCTGAAGAAAATGAAATGGCAAGTGTCCGAGAAACTTGAGCTGGCTTAGGGGTTAGCTCAGCAGAATCTGCCATAAGTTCCTCAGAAGCAGTGATCGGTGTTACATTAAAGGCAGGCCTTGGAGAATCAATAGAGGGATCTTCAGGCCTAGCCTCAAAGGAAGGATTGTCGGTCTCAGGACTGATATGGGAAATTTCTTCTTCTTCTTCTCCTTCCATTTCAGAAGGGGCAGAATGAACTTCATCAGCCATGGATGCTTGCCCTTCTAGGCTCTGTATTTCAGCTTCAACCCCAGTCCTAGCCATTGAAGAGGAAGCACCATCTTGTCGACGGAACCTTTGTCGATTAAGTTGAAGGGCTGCATTGTCATGACTTAAAGATTCAGAGCTTGAGTAGTGGTAAGCTTTGACCTCATCATCCCCAACAGGAACAGATTGCCGAGGAGGAACAAGCAAAGCAGTTGCAGCATAATATGGCAGCTTGACAACTAGCTCTACTATAGAATGGACGAATACATCCTCTTGTTGGGGGTTCAGGTCGGAGGATGGGGGAGCAGAGTCCCTAGAGGGACTACTGGTATCCTCAGTCACTAGTAGCTTTCTCTTCTTCAACCGAAAAGAAAAGAGAGGAAGGAGTTCATGTGGTGAACTAAATAAAAAGGGAAAAATAGAGAAAAGAGAAGAAAAAATGCACCTGAGGAATTTTGGCCTTCGTGGCAGACTTTGCAAGAAGGGAAATGATGGGAACATTGTCCTCGTCAAAAGAAGGGGTTTTCTTGGAAGTATCCACATGAGCTGTTAAGGAGGGAGCAGCCTCATAGACTAGTGCTTGCCCCGCTAAGGACAGGTCTTCAAGAAAAAATCTTTGTTCTTTAAGGATGAGGTCACCCACATCAGGACCTTGGCCAGCCTCTGTGCCTGGGCTAGTTTTGCTAGCCTTCTGTGAGGTAGTTGGTGCCTTAGAATGAGAAAGCTTCTGCTTGGTCTTCTTCCTCTTAGAGTCTACATAATAAGAGTCATCCAAGGGATTCCTCCTTTTAGGCTTCTTGGCATAGACCTTGGCAATCTTGTCCTTGGCTTTACCAAAGGTCTGAGCCAGCAAATGAGGCAGTGGGTAAGAAATATTAGCAACACCAAACTCTCCTGGAGTATCAACTGATTAAGAAATAAAAAGAAAAAAAAACTGGGAGCATGAATAAAAAAAAAAATTCCGACAAACAAAGAAGAAAAAAAAGAGAGAAAATATGAGTGACTTACAAATTTGACTCTGTCGATGGGAAGGAGAAAGACAGGACAAGTACTCTTGTGATGTCCCGGGTCTTGGACTTGATTAGTATTGCGTATTAAGATAGTTTGTTTTACTTTCGGTGTTTTGATTATCATATTGTGTCGTTGAGATTTCTTTTCTTTTCTTCTCTTAATTAACCTCTCTTAACATTTTCGGGTTATAATTTTGAGTTTTGGGCGTTGGAACTTGTTCTGGTATGCGAAATCAATTTTTAGATTTGGTTGGCAAAACCGCTCATGCGGATTTAGCAATCGCTTGAGCGGAATCACACATGGGTTTTTTGGGTTTTCTCGGCAGAAACTACTCGTGCGGATTTTGGATCCTGCATGAGAAAATTTTGGTGAAAAATTATGGGTTTTCTTTGGAGCAAACCACCCGTGAAGGCACAGAATCTGCTCGTGCGGATTTGGGATTCTACTCGTGCGGAATTGGAACCTCTCGTGCGGATTTTAACGCGTTTGTCTCGCATTTTGAGCCCTTTTCCTCAAAATCGATGCCAAAAACGTGTTTGAGACACTTTTTCACTTTTCTCTCTCTCTCTCTCTCTCTCTGTATATATATATATATATATTCATCTTTTCTCTTCCTTCTCTCTACAAATAAACCTAAATCCAAACTTTTCTCTGAGATTTAGCAAAAATCTTGAAGAATTTGATAGGGCTTTTTACACCAAATCGAAGGGAGCGATGAGGGCTATGTTTACACCGATTGAATCGAGTTTTCTTCAACATTAAGTTTTAAGGTTTTCATCTCTTTCATCTCTCAAGCTTGAGGTAGGGACATTGTTAGAGTTATATATTTATATATATTTCAAGTCAATGCTTGTTTGGAGTATTTCTTACATATTTGGACCATGATTTTGGGTTAATGAACCCTAAATGATATTAAAAGTGGATTTTCTCTATTTTTTCCAAAGCTTTTGAGAGTATAAGCTATGTTCTAAAGTGTGGGTGCTGTTT